TTCTGCATTTCAAATGCAGTGCAGAAATCACACAGAAAATGCTGCCAGCCTGCTTCCTGGCCCTGTTCATTTACCTTGACTGATCAGAGAGCCTGGGACTCCAGAGAAGGAAGCGTTTCATTGCAACCTCACTGCAGCTGAAGCCATGAAGGGTGTTGATGTTGGATTCGATTCTGCAGGGCTCAGTTCTGCAGCAAAAGGATCTGCATAGACCACTGGGCCATAAAAACAGTGGATATTACCCAAGTGTCTTGACCAGTGCTCCTGCTGCGAGTGCCTGTGAGGGGGCCAAGTGTCCTCCCTGACTCTTACATTTGGGACCTTGAAGCCAAGAAGGGCCAAACTCCCTCTTTCTCTTTCCACGAATTTTTTTTTTTGAGTCCCACTCTGCTGCTTACACATGGGCTTCGTGTCTCCAAAGTCGTCTGTTCAGTGAGTGTTTGCAGAACTCCAGCTGAGTGTAGAGGTGCTACTCTAGGTCTGGAAGAGAGGGCCCTGGACAAGGGAGAAGACGTCCTGCCCTCATGGGCTCTCCTGGGGGTGACTGAGGGGCCAGCAAGTCAACAGATTGGCACCCTCATTTCTAGACGGTGGTAAATGTGATAAAACATTAGCGGGAGGAAAGGTGGGCAGAGAGAACTAGACACCAGCATATTCTGTTTCTAAAGGCTTCTCTGCGAAAGCTGCTCAAGCTTCTTGCCATCCATTGATCAGCTGGGATGTCCGAAGCTGTGCTCTCATTGGACATTTGAATCTGTCCTCTCCAGTATTGGCAGTGAATCAGGAAGGTTCGTACAAGCGGGAGAAGGGAATGTGTAGATTGCTCCATTCCCTGTACGTGTGCATCCCAGACTCAGCCCCCACCCAGCCTTTCCCAGAAAGTTTACGAGGAGTGATTTTTGCACCTAAGTCAACAAGTGCATGTTCCAGACAGATGTTTGAGCAGCATGTTCCTGACCCACCAACAGCGGCATTTTCAGCAGCAGCCCCCACCAGGTGGTTTGTGGAGGAATCTGTACTTGTGCGATTACATGCCCCAATCATGATTTGTAAATTGGTGGATATTTAAAAATAGAAGCGCCGATGCCAAAGAGTATTTGAGAAGCTTAATACAGTTGAGATAAAATGAAAAACCCTTCAACACACTGAAGTCCCTGGACCTTGACCTTTTGATCCAGGCTTCCTCACTCAGCTGTGCAGGGAAGGGTCCCCCGGAGAGTCGGGAGAAGGTGTGCAAGGTGGTGTGTCACCAACATCACATAAATGACTTGGAAGCTACTGGGGATGGTGTTACCTGTATGTCAAATTTATTTCTGGCATGTTCATACTTTTTTAAAAAAAAATTAATTATTTATTTTTGTAGTTTTTGGCTGGAGCTGGGTTTGAACCTGCCACCTCCTGCATATGAGGCTGGTGCCCTACTCCTCTGAGCTACAGAAGCCACCCGCATGTTCATACTTTTAACTCTTGAACATGTCTCCAGACTTGTATTATTTATAAAAGCAGGATGATCTGATAAACTACCCTGTCTACAATGGGTGGGAGACAGGATTGTCACTACGCTTACTATGGGAGCAGCGTGTAGAATATGTTCTCCATTTACTTAAATTTATCTCCAGCCATCACACACACATATAAAATGGGAATATTGTGGGTATGTGTTAACAGACATGCAGATGATCCGTGTGTATCTACATTTATCTGTATGGATTGCCCCACCTTACTGCTCTTCACTCAAAACAAGAACCTCGCTTTTTGAGTAGGCCTTCAAAAGTTAAATATATTTTGTACTTTTTAAGGTAGAAGAGGTGATAAAGGCACAGTGGTGTAGGGTCCATGCTGCCTGGACCTGAAGCCCACGCCTCCCTTCCAGTGGCTTTGTAAATAAGGCAAAACTGTTTCTTTCCGAACCTTGGTTTGCTCGTCTGCCAAATGGGAACGATAATAATAATAATGATAAGACCCCTATGTTATGGTTTTCATGAGGTTAAATGTGGGTTTATTCCAGCATGTAGTGCAGAGCTGGGCACTGAGCAAGGGCTGAGCCAGTCTTAGTAAAGCGGGAAGAGACTGGGAGTCCTCTGGGGCGGAGCTGCTGAGTCGCACCCGTTCCTGTGATGTCCCATCTTCCAGTCCTCCCTCCGCTCTTTACAATGATTTCTACTTCCTACCTTCAGCATGTGTGAAGTGGCACTATTTCTAAAGAAAGGGCATACTGAATGCAGAGATACCTTTTCTGTCACTTGGCCACCATCCTCCTCTGGTTTTCCATCAAGAGTGTCCTGCAGCCACAGAGACTCTGGGCACTGCCGTCTCAGAATAAACAATAAAAACGAACGGCACCTGCTTTGCTCCCCAAAGCACCGGAAAGCAATACTGCGGGACCCTGACCTCGTCCTCCTGGAGTCCAGTTGGTTGGCTTCACCACAATTCCTTAAACATAGGAATGGAATTCTCAGATGACAGAGGGCTGGGGAAGTGGAGCTGCATGTGGGTTAAAGTCTCATCCCAGGACAGAAAAACTGTATTTTCTAGGGGAAAACATGAAGAGGTGTGTGGGAGCGTTAGGGATTTCACCTGGAGCCCAGATGCCGTCTCCCCTGGTCCTTCCTCATTCATGGGGCTTGAGTCCTGCAGTCTGTTCAATTCCTCGACACTTCCTCTGATTTCTGCGGGGTCCTAGGGGTGAGGGGGGCAAAAAGTGATTGATTCACTCAGAAAGTCCACTCTGGAGCCTGTGATGGGCTCAGCCAAGGCGAGTGTGGGTTTGGTGGTGGAGGACGGGTGCTGCAGGCTGCACCCCCGCTCCATCCCTGCACCTGCCCCACCTCACCGCTTCCTCAGTCCGTCCATCCGCCAGGGTCTGCTTCTCTTCAAAGCTTTGTGCCCACGTCCTGAGCACCAGAAGCTCTTGTGTTTCACTCTCCATCCTGAGAGGGTTTCTGTGTATTTCTTCCAGATGAAGAAAAGCAGCAAATAGATGTGTCTACCTTATTCCTCAAGCAAATGGAAAAAAGCCTCCAGAACGAGAGGACCTGAGCAACAGCTGTTCTGTGGGAAAAACATAGTAGTTGCCTTGCTGGAAAGGAGGCCTCTCCCACCAATTCTTCTATCCTCCTGCCCTCCCCTCTTGGCATTTTCCATGGAACATTCCGCAGGACTTCTGGGCTGGGGGCCCCCAGGCAATGTGTGTGTGTTAGGGGTGGTTGGAGGGGGGGAAAAACAGTAAGTGGTAATCTTGTTATTGACTCTGCTCAAATGAATAGGTACCAAAATACAGAGGAAAACATAAAAATTTTTGAATGTTGCCATAGAGGTCTTTTTCTCTTCTTCATAAAACGTCCATGATTTTAGTAGAACTTTTTCTACTTTTGCCTTGGCGATATCTTGTGCGTGTGTTAGGTTGCCAATATGCCATTAAACATGCTGGAATTTAAACGTGTGAGGCTGGACCTTCCTCTGGCTAGAAAGGCAGGTACCAAAGAGCCACGTGTTGATTTCAGAGTTCAGGATGCAATGCTCGCCTCGACTCAGGGGTAACTGGAGGTATCATGACATTTGGGAGGAACACACTTTCACCATGCTGTGGGTCCTGGAGTGAGTTTGCATAGCACACACAGGCAATTTCTATAGAAAAAGTCAGCATTGGCCCATTTGCTACGTATGTTGACGTTTTTCCTCACTTCTTTTCTCTGGCATTGAGAAGTAGAGCTCTCCTCAGCTTGCTTGCCTGACCAGATGCTAATCAGACGTGCCTTATTTCCTTAGCACCTGTGCTGGGGGTACACGAAACAAGCCTCTTGGGCGTGGCATACACCTGGTGTCTTGTAGGTGTTTGGTTAAGGTCTGTTGGCAGGAGCAAGATTTGCTCACATTTCCTGAAGTTGGTTTGTTGTTGAATATTCAGAATGAAGGCCAGTCACAGAAAGCTGAGTACTGGGCTTCCAGGACGTTGAAAGCTGGAGGATTGTTGAGGATTCAGGGTGGCCCTAGGGATCCTGGACAGAAGCATTTCCACCATCCATCGTTGAGTAGGCATAGGCGGGACACCCGTTGCATGGTCCTCCCTAAACTTCGGGAAGCCACTCCCTGGAGACGTGGAGGACACACCCAGCACATTGATTTGTAATCAACATAGAAGGCAAAAATTCTCTTTGAAAAGATGGATGGTCACATGGTGAAACACTCTAGAATGTTGGGATTTAGCCTAATGTACAACTGTGTGTTACACAATGGTAATGGAGTGGGGACAAACAGAAGAGTGGCTGAGAGTTCCAGGGGGCATCGTAGCTACTTCAACATATCAGACAGAAGGTTAGAGACCTTGGCGCTGATACCTAGTGGGTCTGGTCCCTTGGGAATGATACATAAATTCTCTCTGTAATAGAGAGACTAGAGCACAGTTACACAGGAGACAAAACAAAAGTTAAAGAACTTCCTTAGAAACTCCTTTCTCTGGCCTTAATTATCCAAAGTCAGTAAGACATGGTAAATAATTTTATAGGATTTAAAGGTTTTGGTACTACTTGGTACTATCGTTAATAACCATGTATATCAGAGACTCAGAAATTGCTAAGAGGGTAGATCTTTGTCTTCCCATCACAAAAACGATAAATATTTGATATGTTATATTAACATATGTAATGCATATATAAATATTAATGTATGTAATGTATATGTTAATCACCTCAATTTAGCCATCCCACAGTGTATAAATATTTTAAACATCATGCTTTACATCATAAATTATACAACTTCTACTTGTCAATCAAAAGTTAAACTTCTGAAAAAAATGAAATAAAGTTTTATGTTGTTTTTCTTGATAAAGCTGGTGTATGGTATACTGAAAAAAGTTTCTTATGGATTCAAGTTTCTCAGTGTATACCGTGAAGACGTGTCAGGTGGACTTTGGGGAAGGAGCTCCTGGGGGGGCTATGCAGTAGCAGTTGGTGTGCGTCCCTCTCCTCCTCGGTAATGCCTTCCCTCCCTGTGTGTTTCAGAATCACCACGACGGCCGCCTGCATGATGGACCTCCGAAGGTACCCGTTGGACGAGCAGAACTGCACCCTGGAAATCGAAAGCTGTGTGTATCTGCACCCGGCTGCTTTCTCATTCACTCTCTGTCCTCTGTCTTTTTGTCATTATGGTTGGCGTCTTTTCCAAGGCATCCATAATTTTCTTGCTACAGTTTTTAACTAAATTAGAGATTTAATTCTCCGCTCTTGGAAATTTCTCTATGAGAGCGAGAGAGTCAGTGTGAAAGACTCTTCATTCTAATCTGATTAAGAGAGTCTCTTTACCGTGCTGAATATAAGAAAACAAATGCCCCTCATCTCAGCCCATTCACTGCAGAGCCCACACACAGCAGGATGCAATTTTCTTAACAATATGCTTCATCACTCGCGAGTGGCTGCGTGGCTGGGACCTGGGCAGCCAGAGTAAAGCTCATCTTCCCTCAGGACCCCGGCTTTACAGGGGCTTGTTTCTGCATCTCAGCAATTTTCTTCAATTTGAGTAACATTCAATGGCTAGTCCAGGATGGAGCACTTCTTCCTGTATGAGGGGTGGGAGCCGCATTCACAACCTCTGACATGGTGTCCTTCCTGCTACCCAAACGGCACCTCCTGGCACATCAGGGAACTGTTGTCCCTGTCACTTATCTTGGCCTATTACAGACTGGCTCATAATTAGTCTCAACTGGACTCAGGCTTGTCAATTTTTGTACTAAACTTTCAGTGGATAAACGACTCTGCAATATCATTTGGTTCGATGTAAGAAGGGCATGTCTTTGTGGATAATAATGCTGAGAAATTGTGCTGGTGACAGTGTCCAGACCCTGCACAGGGAGGCCCACTGTGCCCACGTCCAGCCTCCATCATGGTCATGCGTTCTGAGAGCTGCGCTTTCAGGGAAGGTGGGGCACATAAAGTCTCATCGAATGATGCATAGTGAAATTGGGGACATTTGCTGGAGAGGGCAAGAGGCCGGGGAGTGAGGTGAGGATTTCCCAGTAGTTGAAAGGACCTACTAGGGAGTGAAATGGAGTCTGTGCTACCAGGGGGCACAGCTCCGGTGAGTCAGTGGAAGTTTCAGGATGGGAAATTAAGTTCGGGAGCAGCTCCTGTTTCCACCATCTGGTCACACAGTGAGTGACTTCTGAGAGTGCCGTCACAGAGGCCTCCCTACAGGGTGCCAGCCCCACAGGCTCTGCCGAGAATCTGTGGGTTGTGCACTTCTGTGGAAGGAGAAGTCTCCGGTCTTCTGGTGGCCTGACTACACACAGCTCTGGGTCAGAAACGCGCAAGAGAAAGGTGTGTCTTTTTATTTCTGTGCTTGAGGGCAGATTCACTGACCTGAGAATCCATCCAACAGCACATCCGGACAGCCACCGCATATGGTGCTGTTGCAGCCCAGGGGTCCATGGAGGGACGGCATGTAGAGAACAATTAGACAAAAAAACCAAGTAGGGACAAATGCTTTGAGGAATGGGTAAGGAGTGATGTGAGGTTGCTTGTGAGATGGCATGTCAGGGAGGGCTTCTGCAAGGAGGCTTTAAGTTAAGACGCAAACGTGGGGAAGAACAAGCTACATGAGGATCTGGAGGAAGATCCCACAGAGGCAGAAGCCCTGGGCACAGCACGCTGGTCTGAGCCACAACAGGAGATGGGTGAGGCAGGGCTGGGTAAGGGAGTGGAGGCAACAGGGGCCAGGCCTGGGCACTGTCCACATCCTTGCAAGGGGTTTGGGCTTGTTTTTCTAATTGCATTAGGGGCATGTGAGGTTTTTCCACAGAGGAATATGCTACCTACCTTGTAGTAAATTGGGTTTTTATTGAAGAGAAAACCGCAGAGGGGACTAAGGAGAAGGCATTAGCCATGGGGGACAGTCATCCTCACAGCTTGGTCCATGTGTTTGGTCTAACATCAAATATTGAATGAATACCCCAACATTGTATTATATGCTCAAATCAAAAAGTGTGACAGTGAGATGATGTTTTTCTACAGACTTGTGTTCTAACTGATGTTATGGTAAAGTTAACCTAATCTTTTAGGAGACTCCTGGGTGTCACAAGGTCATCCAACTTCATTGCTCTATTTACTCACACTCAGTAAGCAATGATGAGAGACAGAGAGCTGGGAGCAGAGCTGTAATGCAGCTGGTGACCTCTCCTTCTTCTGAGGAAACCACTTGTGAAAATTTCCTAGGGTCAGGAACATCCCAACAAAAGACATTTCTAAGGTAGCAAACCCTGGGACCAGCAGATGGAACCTTGCTCCTTATGCTCTAAGAGTCTCTCCTAGAATCAACCGTTGATCAGCTAAATTCACCCTCGGGCTTTGAACTTTTCAGTAGCACTTGAGAGGAGGTTGCCCATTCCAAATTCTTCATACTTGAGTTCTCTTACAATTGTCTTATTCATCACACTTCAATATATTTTAAATTCCCCTCAATGTGATTTCTGGGCCACCCCTGAAGACATACTTTGCAAATAGAACTTTGGTTGGACCACCCAGCCTCTGTAGTTCTCTACTTCTCAATAGCAGCCTACAAATCAAATAGTAGAGGAAACACAAGAATATTTGAAAGTTAGTTATTTGATGCCGCTTCTCATAGACAAGCACGTTAAGCAGATGGACTTCAAATACGACCATTGTATTAGTGACAGTTAATTTAGGTGTCCATTTAGACAAAGTGGTGATGTTTCATATCCTCAGACTCCCCACTGCTCTCTCTTGACAGATGGCTACACCACAGATGACATTGAATTTTACTGGCGCGGCGGGGACAAGGCTGTGACGGGAGTGGAAAGGATCGAGCTCCCTCAGTTCTCCATCGTGGAGCATCGACTGGTCTCGAGGAATGTCGTCTTCGCCACAGGTAAGTCCTGTCTCCGCTAACAGTCCCTTCAGGGACACCTGCTGTGCTGGTGCGATTGCCATGAGGGAATACTCTACGATACTGGGTAGTCCAGAAATCCAGAGAAGGACCATCGTCAATCATCCCTCATCATTGCCTTTCTGGATATCTTGGGGCATTGATAAACTTTGATGGGAATGACAGATCAGCTGAGAAAGAGATGCTCTCTGGGACTATTATTAAAAGGTCAAATGACAGAGGGCAAATGTAACCAAGGAATGTTTGGTAACATTGGAAATGCTCATCCTTAGGTAGACAAGAGGCCAGGGAAGGCCTTGGAAGCAGGAGGGCAGGAGAAAGAGGAAGAATGGAGGAGGTGGGCACTGTTCTCCTCCTGGAGTAAAGCCACCTGTGCTCCAGTCTGGGCAGTACGGGAAGTAGTGTTGTGTCCTCAGACGTGGTCACCTTCTCCTGATGATATGTTACCCTGGCCTGTTTCTCTATCCCCTCTGTATCAATTGCCCCGAGACTTGATGGTAACTTCTGTTCCTCAGACTCCTTTTGCTGAGGTCTTACTAAATCACAACTGTGTGGATTTACCACATGCAGTGCTGTCTGAGGGCGTTGTACTCACCGCATGCTTTGCATTATAATTGAGACAATAATGAAAATGCTTCCTAAACTATGAGGCGTTACAAAGACCACAAATGCTGGGTTGAAAATGCTCAGTGAAGGCAGAGCTGTCCATATAGCTTGAACAACAGCAAGCGGGTAGAAGCTAGCCCTGATCCTGTGCTGGAACCCGTGAAATCTGCAGGTAGTTTGACCCTCCTTGTCCACAGCCACTGGCCTCCCAGTCTTGTGGCCAGCGCTGAATCATTCCTTACCTTCATCTGGTGCTGCGTCCTCTGGAGAGCCTTTTGACCCACTTGAGCCACCACACTGTCCTCCATGCTGGGCAAGGTAGCTGCCGCACATACTCAGCACTGGGCTGAGCACCCCCAAGCCCCGCTCACAGCTCACTGTGCCTGTACCCTCAAGGACACATGTCTTGGTCACGGCTCCCCTCCTCCCCACTCCCATCTTGAGTGATGCTAGACATGCTGTGGTTATGTGGCCCTGTGAGTCAAGGTTGTCACCAGCATGCCTCCTTCCTGCTCCCGCCTCTGAGCTGCACACAAAAGCCTGGGTGCTTAAGACACCAGTTTGGTCTGCTTTTATGCAGGGATGCTTTATCCCACCTCAACAGCTCCTGCAAATGTCTGTGTAGTCCCCTGTGGAGAGCACACCAAGGTGCTCACCTTGGGTAGACAGAGAGAGGCAGCAGAAACATGAGCTTATAAGGAATAGTGTCCACAGCCAAGAAAATTGCCATGTGCTGCATTGAATAAAATGATACATTACTTCCAAAACTGGGATTCAAACTGTTTCATGCTCCAATTGTATAAGCTCAGAAGATGGAGATCATATCCTCTCAGTGGAATAATTGTGCCAATCCGTGCCTTTGCCTAGAAAATTGCAGTGACGGCCATTAGGGTGCTGCCACGAAGATTTCTTATTGTATTTTCATGCAGCCTCATCAGACAGCCAGATGAAGTGTTTGCAGAGGGTGCCCCAGCTTCCATGGGGGTTCTGTGGCCACTTGGAATGGCCTTACTGAACCCATCAACTCAAAACCACTCTTTCTAGGTGCAATCTCTGCCTTCCTTTTAAGTATGTACATGGTAGAAAATATACCAAATACGTCTGGAAAAAATATACACCCTGGATGTGGGCAGAACCCTTAACCTGGTCAGACCCACAGGGCATCAGAGTGTGGTGTCCTGTCCTCTCTGCAGTGTGTCTGAGCTCCTGCCTTTTGCCTTCATTATCAGTTGGTAGGAAAACCTCCCCACCTTCAAAGGGCCTGCACTTAGAAATTAGTGCAATTTATTTATGGCAGAAGCCACACCCTTTAAAAAATAGTTTGATATCAAACATCATACTAATTTTACTTTCTATACTTTTCTGAATTCATGAGATTCTGATCAGTAAACAGGGTTAAAGGACTTTCTAGTCTGATATAGAATTCTCCAAGGATGGATTAGAAAAGAACAGACATTCTAGAAGTTTATTGAGACCAGGCTACAATATCACCAGGCCATGGGAAGTTTTCATCCCCATTATGGTCTTATGGCGCCCCACCCTGCATGTGTCCGCAGTTGACCAAGACATCATTATGGGGTGCATGACCACAGTCTGTTTTTCTTCCTGCTCTAGATGAGTTTGTGATTTTCTCCTTGTCTTTGGAGTTCCTTGGCAATATGGTGGTGTGCCAAGTTGTAGTTTTCTCTGTGATCCTCCTCTCGAGTGTAGATCTTGAATCCGTGGATTTCAAATCCTTGTTTTGAAGTCTCTTGGCACTTTTGGACCATAATCATCCATCATCTCTTCAGATACAACTTTTTCTCTGTTCTGTCACTGCTCTTTGGGAAGCCCAGTGGCACATGTCTCATAGCTTGTCCTTATATCTTCTGCATGTCATGCTTCCTCCTGTGTATTGCATTTTATTTTCTCATTTCACTCTGGAAATTCTCTCTTCCCTTACCTTTCTGGTAGGCAGTCAGAGGCATTAGCAATCTAGGATAAGCATCATTGACTTTCTGCGCTGTGGGTAATTGTGACTTCAGATTCAGTCTTTGAATGTGCATGAAACCTTCTGGTTTATCTTTACATCTTGAACAGGACTCTATATAATTATAACCAAGCCAAACTGTAAGAGGTTTACAATGGTTTACCTTCTTGAATCCCTGTCTCCAGTTTTTGCCCATTGGAGTCTGTCAGATGTTCTAATTAGCTTGTCATCTTTTCTTTTCTAAAAAGTGCTGCTACCCAAAATACAAGGCTCTCTTCTCTGTTTCTTTTTTCTCCCAGATCTTGATACAGATTTTAACTGGCTTATTATCTCTCCAGTACCTTCAAGGAAATGTATTTCAATTTGTTCCATTTTTTCAGTCATTTTTAGTAAATGTGTTTCCCATACTGCAATACCTAACATGGTTTATTTTTTGCCCCTCTTTATTTTTTCAGAAAAGCTTACAATTGTTTCCATATTTAATTCTTATTTAGTTTGGGCTATAAACCCATGAGAGTAGGAAAGAAGAAAATTTATGGAAATTTTTTTATGATCATATTTCAGAAAGTATAAATTACTTAATTCTCTATTTTTCTAAAGACATTAGATAGAGGAAACATTGATACAGAATAGTATGATATTGAGGAAAGTACTTCAAAGCTCAAAATCAGGATTTTGCATCTTTGTAACAGTATTAAGATATGGAAGTATGAAGAAAGCATTTGCATGGTAGACAGGTGAGGGGATCAAGTTAAAAGAAAAAGTGGATTAAATCTATTTCAACAAGCGTACTCAGCTAAAAATGAAAGAGCCCCTAAAATGTCACTCTAGATACACAGGTCAACAGATTGGGACTTCAGTTTCTTTTTGGCTTTGAATATGTGTCCTGCTGACCAGAAAAATTTGGAATGTATGGTTTTTTCCAAATCTGAAATTGACTCCTAACTTTTTAATTGCCTTTGAGCTGAAAGATTGAGATTTTTGTAAGATTCATGGAGAACAGGTTATTTAATATGCTTCCTTAATTATGTGGTGTTTTTATTTTTTTCCCCTTGTGGTACATTTGGACAGTAATATATTCTGACTTTATTTCAAAATACTTCAGCCAAGATTAGAAGAAAAAGAGAAGGATCCAAAATGAATGATGATGATGAAACGTTTCAGTTAAGATACGTGAATCTTCTATTCTTCCAAAATCAATTTTTAAAATGCTGTTTTGTCTCTTCATTAATGATCATGACAAATTATGAAATTTTTAAAATCCACCCATCCCTCGCTTAACACATACACTCAAATTTCTTTAAGAGTCCATTTGTGATCTCCAAGCTTTAGTTTTAATGTAAACTAAAGTCTCTTGATAAAATTATTGCCCCCTGGGTCTCTAAGTCCCATCTACTAGAAGTATTAAAAAAACACATAAAATAGGCAAAGAAGGAATGACTATCTGTCTCCTTTTCATACAGTAGAACCTCTGTAACTTGACCGCCAGGGGACCTTACCAAACTGGTCAGCATCTAGAGGTGGTCAGCATAAGGAAATAGACTTCATCTTTTAGAATTGCCTTTAAGACATCCAGCAGAATTTTAAAAATATGCTCAGTAATAAAAACTCTTGATGACAGAATCAGAAGAAGATAATTCACTCTACAGGGAGAAAAAGGAAAGAAAAAAGAAACTTGCATTTCCTAACTGTGTATTTTGGGTCAGATAGTATGTTTTGTATTGGATATAAATGAAGCCGTTACCCAATAAAATACATATAGTACATATGTTTTCCTTATAACAGATTTATTGATGTACAATTCACATACTACATAATTCCCTCATTTAAAGTGTACATTCAGTGACATTTATCTACCTACAGAGTTATGCAGTCCTGATCAAAATTAATTTAATTTAATGTTTATTTTGTTTTTTTTAAGGATATAAAAATACAAGTTCATTTTATATTAAAGAGAGGGAAGAGAGTGGGGGAAGAGATGAGAGAGAGAGAAGGGAACAGAGAGTCGAGAGTGAGAGTGCAGAAAATTTGGGGGAAGAAACAGATTCAAAATTAATTTATGAATATTTTTATCACCCCCCAAATATACACTGTACCCATTACAGGTCATTCCCCATTTCCCCCCACCTGTGCCCCCAACCCGAGGCAACTGCACTAATCTACTGTTTCTATGAACTTGCCTATTCTGTGAAAACATTTCATTACTTCACATAATGGGATCATATAAGGTCACTTGTGACTGGCCCGTGCTGTGGCACATATTTGTACTTCATTCCTTTTTATTGCTGGATAATATTCTGCACTTTTTAAATCCATTCATCAGCTGACAAACAAATATGGATTTCACTTTTTGGGTACATGTATTAGGAATAAGGCTGCCATCTGTATTCAAGTATAAGTTTTAGTG